TCCATTGTAGTAGCCATCACACCATTCCAGTACCCTAAAGTATAAAACCAAATCTTTTCTTTATAGTACAACAACTGTGAATTTGTAAGCAACCTCGAACAAAGTACACCATAGAGCCTCCCCTAAGGCCTTTGCAGCCCTCGAACAGTCTCCCCTTAATCGAGACTCAACTCCTTCTCTAGAGTCCTCGAACAAAATACACCATAGAGCTTCCCCTGAGACCTATAGAGCCCTTGAACAGCCTCCCCTTATTGAGGCTCGACTCCTTTCTCTGGAGGCATCGAACAAAGTACACTCTTTGTTCAACACTTGAGTCACTTTTTTACTACACCTTCGAGGCTCACAACTTCTTTGTTCGACATTTGAGGATTCTATTTACATAGCTAAGAGCACGACTCTGATACCATGTTAGGAATCACAGACCTCCATAATGGTATGATGTTGTCCACTTTGAGCATAAGCTCTCATGGCTTTGCTTTTGGTTTCCCCAAAAGACCTCACACCAATGAAGATGTATTCCTTACTTATAAACCCATAATCCTCCTCTAAATTAGCCAACTTTGAAACTCCCTCCCAACAATCCTCAATACTATTCTAATGGCCCGTCCCTAGCCCCAATAATCACCGAGAGGCTTTGCCATCTAGGGCTGATTTTAAGTTTTTTTCGAGCCCAAGTTCACCGCTAGCAGATATTGTCCTCTTCGGGCTTTCCCTTTCGGGCTTCCCCTCAAGGTTATAAAACAGTCTACTAAAGAGAGGTTTCCACACCCTTATAAGGAATGCTTCGTTCTCCTCCTCAACCAATGTAGGATCTCACACAAAAGCTTGAGCTCCAGATTTCCGAGGATATCTCCGGACAACCAAGCTCAAAGTTACATGTTATTGTAGATGAAACTCAGATTTTGAGCTCCTCAAAGGTATCCCATTGCTCAGTAATGATATAAAACAGAAGTCCAGTTGAAGGTAAAAGAAAGAAAGGACTTAATCAGATCACTGTAAGCCTAGTTTAAGATCATTAACCACTTCATTTTCATAAATTGTTGCCAAGAACAAACCCCACAACATAAAACAATCAAAATCACAGTACCCATTTGGATTTTCAATACCCATATGGTGAAAAAAAGGAAACCCCAGAAGGATATACAAGCCAAAGAATGAAGAACAATGCCATCAAGAACTGATTAAAAAGAAAAAATGAATACCCATGTTGCCTAATCGACGGTGACCAGAAGATCGCATAGCTCCATTGGATGCTCTTCACAGCGACAGCGAGCTGCTTTCGGAGAATCCCCGGTTCGCTATCACAGATTTCAGTTCCATTAGCCATTTTTTTCAGAAAAAACAGAGAAGCTCAAAAGAAACGATGAAGAACAACGAAAACCCACCAAGCCATTAGCCATAAGGAGCTTAAGATTTGGTTCAAACGCCACAGAATGGCGAAACCCAAAAGGCTTTTAGGCTTTAGCCGTGCGACAGAGAGTAGCAGCTTTCTGAACAGAAAAGTAATTACTGGAAAAAGTGGAAACCATCTTCTCAGATGCAACCCTTATACAAATTTGGGTTTAAAAGAGAGGGTGATAATCGATTAGTTTATGGTTAAAATCTGATCGAGGGGCTGACAAATTCTAATTTAGGGTTTACTTTTTGACTGACGAGACGATGAAATCAAATAGAAAGAGGAAAAGTTTTCATAATTTAAGCTTGTTCGCTTCATAAACGAATCATTCTGAAAACAGGGTATTGTTTACTATTGAATGGGAACTTTTTCTATTCTCAAAATAGTGAAGGCTCAGCTCGTAAATTCTTTGACAAAATGCACCCGACACTTCAATTTCTCAGAATTTTTAAATTTAGATTTTAAAAAATTACTTTTAGCACCTCAACATACGAACTTTAATTTTTAATGCTACGTCCTTATATTTTTAAATATTTAATAATTTAGTCTCCGACACTCGATAAAAGAGATATATGAAGGAATAGAGATCATATCTGATTTACAGTGATCGTAGAAACTTCATGATTTAGCGTGCTTGAGTAGGTAATGTGACCGTGTTGCCATGGATGCTGGTGAACGTTGGGGTATCAAATGCTGAATATGGATAATGAATTTTGGACATAGGTCGTTACAAATACCTCTCCTAGTAAGATGTATGGATTCGTGTTAGTCTGTGGGGATAGTCTTTACTCTTAAGAAGCTAAAAGTAGGTAACGTGACTATGTTGCAAGAGATGAAGGGGAAAGTTGGGGTCATCACGTGTTGAATCCTAATTCCGAATCTTGGACATATGCAGCTACATAGTTATTAAGCTTTCATAGGCCCGCTAACTTTTTTTTTGAAGTCTGGTTCTTTTAAACATTCAATGTGACCTCGACGCCAAACCTTTAGGTTGTTCGAGTAGATTGGGTGACAGATCGACCATTGTAGTACTTCGGGATATAAACCAAGACAATAAATGTCCTACAAACAAGAGTTCCTATCTCGACTGTCTATCAAACCAGTCCTTTGTCCCACTCATCTAATTCGCTCACGAAAAGTTTTATTAATCAAAAACACCTTTTACTTATTTAAAAACTTGAAAAAAAAAACATTCTAATTAAAAAAATTAAAAAAACACCTTTAAAAATATAGAACTTTTAAAAGTAATATTAAAAAGTTTGAATGGCGTCAATAGACCATTTTTTTTTGTCTATATATTGATCGTAATAATTTTTTTCGAACATTTTCTTTATAAAAGTAAAGGGTAACAGTGTTATTTTTAAAATTTCATATGCATTTTTTAAACATAGTACTAACTCGACATTTTTAAGCTTTTTAAAAAGATGTTGAAGGAGTTTCGATTAAATATATTTTTAATTTTTTTTTTTAAATTTATAAAGTTGATGGAGATTTTATTAATTTAGCCAAATATATATATATATATATATATATATATATATATATATATATATCTAAAGATTTTTTTTAATTTTTTTATTTTTTGAAAATTGTAAATTTAATTAAGGGTTTGAATTAAAATTGAATAAAATTTATGATATAAATGGGAAGAAGTACATACTCTTATCTATTTTTATAAAGTTGATAGATAAAAGTGATAAAAAAAGTACAACAATAATTGACCAAATGGGGCCAAGGGAATGCCTCATTTGACAGAGGAGAAGTGGGGGCAAAGTAGTAATTTTACGTTTTAAACCCAAATTAAGTATGACTTTATGATATTGAAAAAATAAGGGAAATTGTCAAAAATAGTATAGGGGTAAAAAAATTAAATTATTATTTTTCGTCCTATATTTTAAAAAATGCTCTTGTATTTTTAGTATTTTTAAAGTATTGAAAAAGTTAGTATTAATAAAAATTTGAACGTTCCAAGATATTTTTGAACGTTGAAGGGCGTTATTGAAATAAAATTGAAGCGGGTTTCATCTAAAATTATCGGTAAATATATATTTCAAATTTTTTTTGAAAATTTAAGTGATCAATTAATTGATAATGCATGAGAATAAGATATCTAGAAATGGGATATATGAGAATTATATAACTGTGTTTAGTGTTACATGAAAATATTATCATGATTTTATGTAAATAAATAATATTTTTGTTTGTTTTTCCGTTACTTTCAACGATTTTTTACATTAGATACTTCTCACCAATTCGCTCAATAAAAACATAAATCGAACGTCCTATAAGGGTATTATTGTAAATTTTAAAAGTTTATGAGTATTTTTTAAATAAAATACAAAAATTTGGGGTATCAAAAGTAAAAAGCTATTTAGCTCGTGAAACTGGAAACCCCAACGAAAAACCTTTCACAATTACGTCCGCATTTAATTAATACTCCAATTTTAGAAGTTTGGACTAAGCAATAATGATCTGACTATAAGAGTGATAGATTAGAAATTAATGTGATTAGGTTACTAAGTGAGATTAGACTTAATTAGTTTATTTATTGTAAATTAGAGCATTATAATCCCAATTTTAATAATAAAATTTTAAATAAAAAAATGCCACGAGCCCTTTATATACAAAGATTCGGGTATGAAAATTTATAGTATTATAGTAATATAGACATTTTTCATTCAGCATTTGACACGTCGGTAGATAATATATTATTTGTATAATACATCGCATAATTATTAATTATTTTTTTAAAATCAGTTTTCATTTTAAAAGTTAAGAATCTAAAATTTTTATTTAAAAAAAAAAGAAAAAAAAGGAGATTTAAGTATGAAATGAGAGAAAATTTTAAAGTTTAAAAGAAAAAAAAAACGAAAGAAAAAATGATAATAAATTGTTAAAAAAGGGAGAGAAAAATATATGAAAAGGGTAACAATTACTTCAATTAAATTTACATTAAAATTTAATTTTTAGAGTTCGTTTACAAGTTTTTGAGCGTTAGCGACACTTCAAACGACATTGAGACGCTGTTCTTAAAAATAATTTGTTGCAACACTCCTATTTATGATTTTAATGTTCCAAAACACTCTTCTAAACTCCAAATACGCGTTGTTTTTACTCGAGTTGTTTGAATGCTACCAAATGACAACCTTGTGAATCATTGTTTTCATTCGAGTTGTTCGAATGCTACCAAATGACCGAATAAACACGTGAAAACGCTGAAATACATCACAAAACTAACAATAACTTACGCCTATTAACAACTTGTTAAAACATTATACATCAAAAGTCCGAGTTGGAGCACAATCCAACCTCGACATAATATGTTCACATCACACAATTAGTCGGATCAGGAAGGAAGGCGGGACGGAGGACTTCAGAATCCCATGTCGAGGTTTAGGGTCAAAGCAACCAAACCGAATCAAACCGAAAAACCATATAAAATCATATCATAGAGACTCTTTGTCGATCCGAGACCGACCTTCAAATTTCAAACCGATTGTTCTTTGTATCCTTACATTAAGGTTTCTTTTCCAAAAGAATATTATTTGAAGAACACTTCCATTTTTCTGTGGCAAGAAAATCATTTCTTCATCTCCTGAGATGAACAATCGGATCTCAATTCTTTTGATGTTCTTCACCAGAAGAACACGACTTTATACAAACAAATTACAGCAAGCACATTAGCAAGGCCCTTATTACTTTGATCCACAACATAGGGTAAAAGCTAACCTAATAGGTTCAATTTAAGTAGAAAGAAAGCAAACCTCAAGAGAAGTAACTCTACTGATTCTTCTTCAGCTTAGAACGGGAAGATGATGAAGATCGATTATCGTAACTGGATGCTCGAATAATGAAAAGAAGTGTTTCTACGAGCATGCCGAAAACCAATCCAAGGATACCTCCAGCAGCACTCTGAGAAACAAAATTTGATGCCCAGTAAATAACAGTACCATGAGAATCAGAAATTAACAAGTTTGCTTGAAGATTAAACAGATATTCAATAAATACCATGATCGGATCGTGCCTAAACAATGCTCGGAATAAAGCATATCCAACAAGATAGCCCGTAAACATTATCAACACGACGTGTAAACCTGCAACAACCTCGTGGCTTGTTAAATATTGTCGTTCAGAAGGCAACAGAACACGAGAAAGAACCATATGATACGACAGATTTCAAAGGTTACAAACAAAGTTCTGAATTACAAGAGTTCAAGTAAAACGTTCATGAGATGTACTGATTCAGACGATCTTGATAATATCGATATTAAAAGTTATCAACAAATCACATAATAAAGATTTCGTTGATGATAAATCCCTGTTTTGTAAAATATGACAAGACCATACTATTCCATAAAACTGCAAGAGTTCAAGTAAAACGTTCATGAGATGTACCGATTCAAACGATCTTGTAATACCAATATTGAAAATTATCAACAAATCACATAATAAAGATTTCGTTGATGATAAATCTCTGTTTTGTAAAATATGACAAGACCATATTATTTCATAAAACTGCAACAGTTCAAGTAAAACGTTCATGACATGTACCGACGCAGACAATTTTGAAATACAGATATTAAAAATTATCAACAAATCACATAACAAAGATTTATTGATGATAAATCTCTGTTTTGTAAAATATGACAAGACCATATTATTTCATAAAACTGCAAGAATTCAAGTAAAACGTTCATGAGATGTACCGATTCCGACGATCTTGTAATACCCATATTAAAAATTAATAAAAATTTTCTTGATGATAAATCTCTGTTTTGTAAAATATGACAAGACCATATTAATTCATAAAACTACATTCAATTTTATCTTATACAAAAAATCTGCTCATATTTGAATATATCATAAAAAGTAAATCGGTATATATCGGCAACGTAAAACAACAAGGTTGCATACATACCGAACCCCAGCTGATCCTTGTAGGAAGAGAAAGGCTCATCAATTGGTTTCTTAGGTGCGATATCCTTCACTAGTTCCTGATAGGCCTTCCTCTCTGCTACATCCGCAAGCTTCTTCAGTCTAGCCTTTAACTCCTCACTCTGTATACACATAGCAACAAGTTAACAAGCCCACAAGAAAAAATATGTTCTACCAAAAGTACTCAAACGTGTAAGTTTTAACGTTTCAGCATAAAAAGTCAGTTTGGATTCCCATAAACGTGGTTCAAAGGCTCAATCTTCTAATACAACTTGCCCCAAGTCATGCCTAGATTGAAGGGATTCAGGACATGAATGACATCATTAGCATGGTCATAGAGGTACTAAATTGTGTGCTCTTAGTTCATATCCATGTCAAGTTCAACTTGGCCCAAATCATGCCTAGATTGAAGGGATTCAGGACATGAATGACATCATTAGCATGGTCGTAGAGGTACTAAATTGTGTGTTCTTAGTTCATATCCATGTCAAGTACTTTGGAGTTAATATACAACTAGTTAGAGCAGTGTTCACAACCAAATCAGCATGAAACCAAACATTGCACTCATTTCTTCCCCCTTCTCTCTTCAAGCTAGAGGAATTCTAATTAGATAACCTAATTTGCATGTTAATTATACCCTAATTTTCAGAAATTTCAAAGAATCCATCCATTAATTTGGATTTGGATCTCCCATCTTCAATTTGTCATCAAATCATCACTCCGACTAATATAGAACTAGATAAATAAGATCCAAGATTAAATTATTATACATACCTTCTCCCTTGGTTTAGGGCTTGTAAAGACGAACTCCGATCCATTCAAAAGACGGAGCAAATCCGGCCGGGTGGACGATTCCGTAGCAAACCAGATAGCTCTCAGCGGCTTATACGGAACATTGTCTTGTGAAGCGAGATTTGAAGCAAGCTGCCGGAGTTCCTCAGAAATTCGTGAGTCTATGGACGCCGAGGTCAGAAATGAGCGAATAGCTTCGGTGTGAGCTATGACAAGACCAGACGGATGCGCCTGGTCGTTGATCATCGTAGAAAAGGGCTTTGAAAATCAAGAACAGCGATATCCCTCGCCGGCGGGACCTGTGGAAGAGACGAGAGCTTAAAGCAACTACAATGGAGTTCGACGTTTTAGTTCATGGGAGCGGTTCGGTTTGGTTCGGTCTGAGGAGATGTAAAACCAAACCGAACCGTTACCCCCAATCCTACAAAACACGTGTGACCCACACGGGAACACGTCCCATCCACCCGCTTCACGTTCACTCGGTTATACCCTTACACGCCTCCTTCGTGCGTGCCAATTTTCCCAATTCTGAATCACCTCCACACGCGCGCGCGTGCGAAACCCTTCCCCTCGCATGCTCGCACGCTTGAGAATCAATCTCTCTCTCTCCCTCTCCCTCTCTCCTCTGTCGCCGGACTAGCGAGTCGCCGGTGAATTCTAGAATCCATGCTCCTTGATTCTTCTCCGGTCGGAACCAGACTGATCGACGGAAAGTTGTCTCTGGAGTACCTTGCCTTTCGCCGGAAAGGTTCCGTCATCTCCGCGCGAAACTTTTATGGTATTGTTGAAGATTTAGGTATTTGTTCATACGGATTTTTTTTTGAAGTAGTCGTTCTTGCAGAATTTGGTGCTGAGATTTGTAGGTGAAATTTTCGAAGGAATCAACTGGTTTGAGGTTCTAGACACGTGGTTTCTTTCTACTGGTGGAGATAAGACTTGGCGAAGAAAGGAAAATGAAATATGACGTTCTTGAGGTACTGTAGATTTCCTTTTTCCTTGTAGACTTTCGAGTTTTTCTGCTGGAATTTCAAGTTGCTTTTTAGCTACGGGAACCACTCCCCTGTATTGAATATGGAATCTCAGAAGTGAACTTTTTACGGTGTTTGTGGAGAATAGGATGAACATCGAACACTTTTTAGATGAAGTTTCAATGTTCCAAAGAAAATTAAACTAGTTTCGTACTTGTTCTGTCTCCTTGATACATTAAAGATGGCATATATTGAATATTCATGTACTAACTTGACTGAAAGTTGTGGAGATCTTGCAACTCTTGTAATTTTTTTGAATTTTAATTGGATGCTTTTATGATAACAGTTTGACATGTGACAGTTAATACCCAGTTTCATTTTGTTGCCAGAGTACTCTTTCCTGCTCGATTTGCAAAGAAGTTCATGTACATAGTAGTAGTGGTAACATATGGAGCGTGTTATCTGGACGTTAACTGTCGCTGAATTGAGAAATAGTGGATTTGCAGTATAATAATTGATCGTAAACTATTACGTCCTAGTGGTATATAATTTGGAGCCAACGCGATTATGGCAACGGATATGCAAAAATTGATAGGTACAAGTGAGGAAGATGATGATGAGGATGTGGAGATGGATGTGAAAGAGGAGGATGATGAAGAAGATGATGGGGAGAAGCGGATTTGTAGTTCGTTAATGGTTGGGGATGATGGAGGAATGGTGTCGAGTGGTAGCAACAATAATCGCTTTGAACAGCACCAGGTACAAGAACAAGTGGGCACCCCTGGGGGTGGCCGTAGGTGTAGACCAGTTGAAGAGAAAGAGAGAACAAAGTTGAGAGAGCGGCATCGAAGGGCAATCACTGCTAGGATCTTGGCAGGTCTTCGGCGACATGGTAATTATAATCTCAGAGTTAGGGCAGATATCAATGATGTGATTGCAGCTCTTGCTACAGAAGCTGGTTGGGTAGTTCTACCGGATGGAACCACGTTTCCTTCAAGATCTCAGGTACTTGTTTAGTAGCCATTCCTTTGGATTTAATAAAGTGAAATCTCGCAATGATATGAGCATCATCCATTTCAGTTGTAAAACATGTGCGAAATAAATAATAATTACTAGCATTTGGCAAATCAACCTGCAAAGTTAATTGCAAAATTGCAATGTTTTGTTTGTAAGCAGATTTCATTCATCAACTTTATAATCCTATTATAGTTTATGAAGGTACACAGACATAGTAGTAACTAAATAGGCTGCGTCGACATTCCTTGAATATCACCTCGAACAAATTTCAGAAATACCCAAATGGGAACATTTCTCTTCAACATTTACAGGGCATCAAAGCTGCTGGAGGAGGTTCTACTGCAATAACTTCATCCTCTTCCCATATGGTGTCTCAACAAACTCCATCAACGTTCATTAGGGGAGTCAGTTGTGGCCTTAGGAGCTTGCCAGAATACAATGCATGTCGAATGAAAGGTGTTTTTTTGCCTAATTCGCCAACATATGAGGCATCTCCAAATGCTAGATGTCAAAGTTCATCCCTGATAGGAGATGCCGTTGAACAGTCAGCTGGTCATCCGCTTATCAGTAGTTCAGTTGATGCTGTAGATGGAATGCAGGTAGTCAAATTGGTTGTTTCATTGCCCATCTCCGGGCCTGTTCTTGTTATTCTTGCTCATGCTTTCGGACACTGATTGATCTCATGGATATGCTTATTCCTTACTATGGCATGTAGTTGAGGCATGAATATGACTGTGGTTGATGATGCATAACAAACACCTCCTCTTTTTGTGTGGTTTTTTTAATACCCTTGTATGCTTTAATTCTTTTTTCAATGGAAGTTCATTTTTGAATAAAAAAAATTTAAATTAAATTAAATCGCTTTGCATATTAAGCTACTTGAAGCATTTGAAAACAGTGATAAGCACTTTGAGCTCCTTATTGCAAGTGCTGGCGTGATTGATTTTCATATATTTGATTAACAATGGGAATACCTTCTGTAGCAATATATTGAACATGGTATTGTTCTTTGTAGATTGTTGACGTAGCCCCAAAAATACCTGAACGTGATTTTGCTGGGAGTACTTACATTCCAGTTTATGTGATGCTGCCGGTAGGTGCCGTTTATTTTCTAACCGATAAATTTTGAATTTGGTTTATCTATTTTCAGTACCTTAAGTTCTGTTCCCTGTGAGTTCCTCCCCAATTCAGCCTTGTTTGAGAAAGCATCTTTTGGTGTTGATAAAAATGGGGTCATTGTTGGATATTGTTGCTGCTTTACATCTTATTTTGGAGCTACTAATTTACTTGTCCCTTTTCTGGTGATAGTTGGGAGTCATTAATATGAAATGTGAGCTAGTTGATCCAGATGGGTTGCTTAAGCAGCTAAGGCTGCTGAAGTCGGTAAATGTCGATGGTGTCATGGTTGATTGTTGGTGGGGGATAGTTGAAGCTCATTCTCCACAGGAATATAATTGGAATGGTTACCGAGGACTTTTTCAGATGGTGCATGAATTGAAGCTCAAGTTACAGGTGAAGTTATTGTCTCATGTCGTCTCGGACTCTTTTGCTCTCATGTTTTCTCTCCTTTAGGATGACATGATTGTTTTGTTTGTCTTCTAATGCTAAGGAGTGGTGATAGTTCGTTCTCATATTTGTCTTAATCCTCTCTTTATAATGTTCATTTCAATAGGAAAAGGAGACTTTTTGAATATTTTATTACGTGTATTGCACTGCAGTTTAAATTTTTAGTTTTTCAAGCTTATGATTAAATATATTATCATGTAATTGTATATACATTATTAAATAGATAAAATGAACCTTACAATTCTTAATGCACTACAGATCTATACATAATTGTAAAAAAATTAACTTACATTTCAATTTATTGTTTAATAACTTTGTTGGCGCTATATGCTTTAGACATATAAACTTACACCAGAAAGTTTATATTTTTCTCTTGCATAATACTTAGCATGTGGTTTAGGCCATTGGAAATTGGTAATAGAACTTATCAGTTTTTTCATGGCTTAGTTAAATTGGACTATGGTATTGGAAAACATTGAAAATCTCACTCACAAAAGAGGAATTAGCTAAGTTATCGGTAAAGTTTCTTCGCACGTGCGCTTATGAATTGGAAGGAAGTTGACAGTTTCAACTTACATAGCTTAACTTATTCTTGTGAGGCTGACATTGTTTACAGTAGAAGATTGCTCTCTGCTATGGGGTGTTTCACTGGGAAAGTTTCTTGGCTGGATTTTTTAGGTCATCTGCCTCATATAAATATACATAAACTACAACGCTGGAAAGTTTTACAAACTTTCTCATGTTTATGTTCCCCTTGTATAGGTTTCTTGAGCAATTTAGTCTCGCACAAGGGAATAATAAATTCCTTGGCGTTGCTCAACATCCAAGGAATATATTGATATCTACTTGGATCTACATACTTCAATTTGAAGACGTCTTTGCTGAGTCGTAAACTTTATTTGGATATGGTGAATATCTGTTTCAACCAATCTATTGGAGGCTGATTAAAAATTCTTCTGAATTTTTATGAGAATTCCTGCTTTGTTGTCATCTAAGACTCGAAATCTACATGTATTATTAGACATGCATCTCTTTTTCATTCAAATGGAGAGCTACTAACTTATTAAAGCAATAAAATTTAATCTTGAAATGCATGCATTACTTAACAATGCAATGAATTAAAGTAAATTTAGTGGTTGCTGTTGGTTCCCCCTACTTTTTAGTTTGATGTAGTTCTTGGAATTTTATTGTTAAAGCCTTTGTTAATCGAAATTTGTTGTCCGGTTTATACAATCCAGGTTGTGCTGTCATTTCATGAATGTGGAGGCAACGTTGGTGATGATGTTTGTATTCCACTACCTCATTGGGTTGCTGAAATTGGTCGGAGTAATCCTGACATATTCTTTACTGATAGAGAGGGAAGACGCAATCCTGAATGTCTCTCATGGGGAGTCGATAAGGAGCGAGTGTTAAGAGGCCGGACAGGTCTTGAGGTAACATTAATTAAAGATTACCATGAGATCATATTTAATTGTAAAGATATGAATTGAGCTTCTTGAAATTATAGAATTAAGTATGCTTTCTGGGATACTCAAGCTCTGCTGGATTCATTACCATAATAAAGTGGAGGCATATTTTGGAACACTTTTCACTTTGGGAGTATGTCCTAGCATGCGTGTTTTATCGTTTATATTTTCTTTGGGCATCTGTTGATCCTGTGTTATAAGTCTCGGTTTCGTTGTCTTCCGAAACAAAAGGCCTCTATTACCAAATGTTAGACTAGCTAGGAATTTCCCTCGTTACATGGATCTGAAAAAAATTTCATAATGTTTATTTTCTTTCG